TCCCAGTTACAAAAAGTCTGTAGGTTAAATGTCACTAAAAAAGGGGTGGGGAGTAGAGGTCAAGATAAAGCTGGATTTTTCATATCAGACCCTATGTAGAGGAAGACCCGTCAGGACCCTCCAGTGAACCAACAATGCACATCTAGTACCTGGACACCTGTTATGCAGAGAAGGCCTTGTCAAACTGGTGGATAAGAAACAGCAACAACCACCACAAAAAATGCACTTGCAGCGACCAACTTGCTGCATCTCAAGTAAGTCAGTGTTGGCGTTTCCTGCATCAGTTACCTGAAGTTCGAGGGTAAATGTGGGTTGAAGAATCAGAGAGGAGAAAAGGAGAAGGCAGTCATGAGAGGGCAGACCATGCCTTCAGTGGGGTGCTGGAAACATTTCATACTTGCTCCGGAGACTAAGTTTAAATTTTCAGGAATGTTGCCAGTTGTTTGTTGCTAGTTTGGATCAGCTCTGGTGGGACTAGTGTGTACATCAGTACATAGTGGAAATCAGCCAGTGCCACAAACTGGGGTCTTTAGCTTTTCTCTCTCCTAAAGAGCTGATCCACATGTGTGCCCCTGCCTTCTCCCTACCCCTGGCAGGTGCTCTCTGGGGGCAGTGAGAGCCCAAGGGGGTAACACAGCTGATTATTTCAGGAACAGAAAAGAAATTAAGTTGAAATGTAAGTAAATAATCTTGCACCCCAGCAAGAAAAGGGAGGTTAGCAAAATAAAATTGTGTCAGTTATTAAAAAAGCAAAAACCATTCTATAGCCTTACCAAAATGGGCTTCTGTAGGGGAGGAAAAGCAACTTCCCTCTACTTTTCTGAGTTCTAGAACTGGANCTGAAACTCCAATACTTGGGCCACCTGATGTGAAGAGCTGACTCATTCGAAAAGACCCTGATGCTGGGAAAGATTGAGGGCATGAGGAGAAGTGGACAACAGAGGATGAGATGATTGGATGGCATCACCGACTCAATGTACATGGGTTTGAGTAAACTCCCAGAGTTGGTGATGGACAGGGAGGCCTGGTATGCTACAGTTCATGGGGTTGCAAAGAGTCGGATGTGACTGAACAACGGAACTTAACTTTTCTGAGTTCTAGCTGATACTTCTTTAATAATAGCCAGATTAACAAAAGAAAAACAAACAAGTTTATTAACATGTATACCTTATGTATACATGGGAGATACACAGAATAAAATGGGTAGCCCCCTGAGATGACTTATAATTCAGACTTAAATGCCATCTTAATAGGGAAAGGGGAAAAAGGATGTAGACTTCTTAGTAGAAAGTGGATGATTTTTAGGAAAGTTGAATGAGTCCTTAGAAGAACATATATGTGAGAGATGATAGTTTGTGGCAAAGTTTGTTTCAGCGTGGTGTTGACCTCTAACCTTCTCTCCTGTAATAGGAGTCAGTCTTCTCTGCCTAATGAAGCCCCTGGGGAAGAGATTTATGACAAGTGAGTTCCTTTCGGAAGAGCTGTGTTTAGACACACGTGAAGAGTTCAAAGAAAGCCTCTCCCAGCATTTGCTGTTTCTCAAGTGCCTTCGGCTCAAAATAGTCAATACAGCAAAGTGACATATTTTGGAGTAGCATGTCCTGAGCTCCTACAGTCATATTTTAAGGTAACATATTCTGCTATCTCTCACTTCTGTTATGGATTAAATCATGTTCTCCCCAGAAGATATGTTGATATTTTAATCCCCAGTATGAATAAGGTCAGAATGTGACCTTATTTGGAAATGTAATCTTTACAGAGGTGATAGAGATAAAATGAGGTCATTAGTCCCTAATCCAATAGGACTGGTGTCATTATGAGGCATTTGGACACAGACAGATAAGTGCAGAAAAGGAGATGATATCAAGACACACAGGGAGAAGATGGCCATATAACTACAATGATGCATCTACAGGTCAAGGACCCGAGAATTGCTGGCAACTACCAGAAGCAGAAGAGACAATGTCGGCTCCCTTGATAAGCCAACAGAGAAAGCGTGGTCCTGTCAGCTCTGATTTTGGACTTCTAATCTTCAGAACAGTGAGACAATAAGCTTCTGTTGTTCTAAGCCAGTTTTGGTGCTTGTTATGGCAACCCTTGGAAACTAATGCAGCTGCCAAAATTCAGCTGCAAAAATGGCTACTGTTTATTAGTGTTAGTCGCTCAGTCGTGTCCGACTCTCTGCGATCCCACAGACTATAGCCCACCAGGCTCCTCTGTCCATGGGATTCTCCAGGCAAGAGTGCTGGAGTGGATTGTCATTCCCTTCTCCAGAGGATCTTCCTGACCCAGGGATCGAACCTGGGTCGCCTGCTTCTGTTAGTCATTGCTAAAGAGCATCACAGAAGTTTCCAGCAAGGAGGAGTCTCGGATATCTCAGAATCAGCAACAGGGAAAGGTCACTGGGTTTCTCCAGGTAGACAGTGAGCAGCTGGTACTTACAGGGAGAGTTATTGTCATTCCATCCAGACCCATCCATTGCTCCAATTTACTTAAAATCTGAAAATGTGTCCTTTGGCTTAAGGGATATGGCAGTAACTAGGGAGATGATAATGAGCAACCAAACAAATAGGATATTCTCAAACAATTTGCGATTAATTCGAGGTGTTGGCGCTCAAGCACTAAATGCTCCAGGGACAGGACTGGCTTAGATAGCTTGCTGGGTGTTCCAGCTACCCCAGCCGAATGCTTCGAGGCCAAACAATTTAGCAAGAATGAAGTATCAGGGGCACACAGCAGAGCCAAGTGGAGAAGGAAAAGTATTCTAAAATGCTAATCTGAGAAGTGAAACGGTAGCATGGCTGTGAGGGAAGTCAGATGGAGAGTGATGAGTTGTAGATCAGCAAATATTAATAAGTACCATAATTCTGGAGTCAGGAGGTTTACTTAGTAGGCTAACAAATGGGGGATCAGCTGCCTTAGAAATGCTAAGCCCAGCTTAGTTTTCAGTTTTGACTTAACTCTTAAAACTATAAAGCTCATGGCAAACTGCCTGAGAGAAAGTTTGGAGGTTTCAATGAATATCCGCAGATGTAGTAACTTTGGGGGCCAGAATGTCTTAAATGAAATGAGTTTTAGTGGCTCTCAGAAGATAGTGGGACCAGGACATTCCATCTTGGAGACAGTCTGTCAGAATGAGGATGACACTGGAACCTTGGAAGTGGCCGAGCTTTTTCTCAAAGTTCAAAACTTTTTGTCCTAATATGGAACTAAGAAAGAGGCTCCAGGTGATGGCTGTATTTTCCTGGGCTGATCTCTAGCTTATGTATAGATCTTACATTTTAAATCCACATAATATCTTTATTTATTAAGTGTCTGTTTTGTACTGGGCTTTATGCCAATTGCTGGGGACATTAAAATGAAAATTGCTTCCTGCCATCAGTAACAGTCAAGTAAATGTCTTGTTTAGAGAGAGATGTGCAAACAATTATAATGTAATGTAAAAATGACTACTAGAAGTCTGCATGTGGTGCTCCAGAAGCTCTGCGTTAGGAAGGACCAGCTCCCTAGTGATAGGGAATGGATTGTCAAGGAAGGCTCCGTAAAAAAAGGAGGTATAATTATAGGACTGAGGTCCATGAAATAGGTCAACAGGTGCCAGATTACAGAGACTCTCATGCCAGGCTTAAGGGAGCCATTTAAGTCTTTCAAGTTGTTTGGTGACATGATTAAATGTGTTCTTTAGAAACATCTCTATGGCAGCCGTGTGGAGACTGAAGTGACAAAAATATACACTGTGGCTTACTTTGTTCTAAAAGGCAGTTTTACCTTTAACTGTGTATATACCTTATTGACTATATTCAAGCCACAAAATTCGCAGACTTAGAAGCCCTGCATTACATGCCTGTACCTAGGTTTGTTGCTGATTCACCATACGCCTATGCTGTAATCTTACAGTCATATGATCTTGTTTATGAAATTGGTTAAGACTAATGAGTAATAGGCTGTGTTCAAATGTTTAATCTAATAATTATCACCAATACTAGAGGCTCTCTCTTTTAAGTGTGTTTTTCCATTGTATTCTTGGCTTTACAAAGTACCTTAACACAATTTAATAATAGATCTCTTGAAACATGGTTGTGTAATATAAAGGAGCAAAGCAAAGTCAAAAATAAGATGGGAAGAGTTATTCTATGGAAATCCTATTGTTTTCAAGCCACTGCTGCATTTCTTTTTCTAGTTATTTGGAAAGAAAGAAAATGAAACATTCTCCTGCGTTTAAATAGTCATGAAAACAGAAGTTCTTAATGATAACTTATGTTAAAACTTATTTTGGTTTGTTTGTTTTACCCTATATTCCACAAGCATGGTCCTCAAATTTCAGTAGTTACCAGAATCACCTTCAGGACTTGTTAAAACAGAGTACTGTGTCCTGCCCCCAGAGTTTCTTATTCAGTCGGTCTGGAATGAGGCTTGAGCATTTGTATCTTTAAGCTTCAGGTGATGTTACTGCTGCTAGTCCAGGGGTCACACATGAAGAGCTATCAACCTGAAATAATAATGTACATGTGCAGTTAGTTGCTCAGTCGTGTCTGACTCTTTGTGACCCCATGGACTGTGGCTTACCAGGCTCCTCTGTCCATGGAATTTTCCATGCAAGAATACTGGAGTGGGTTGCCATTTCCTTCTCCACTAAAGTAATAATAGCTAACTTTTATTGAGTACTTTCTATGTTCCAGCTGTGTTCTGAATACCTTACTTTTCCTTAGCTCACTAAATCCTCATGACAACCCTAAGACTCTCAGTTGGTTAAGAGTGTCTCCCTTTGTGTACCAGAAGGAGAAGTTTGGCTCTAAATAACAAGAGAATCTTATCAGTGGAGAAGGTACCAACTTAAATCTGTATAACAAACTTATCCTTTACTGTGCTAATAGCCTCCTGTAACTAACCTTTTCTCTACTTTCCTTCTTTGGTCTTTAGATGGAGATGATATTTAGGTCAGAATTCTAAGCCATGCTAGAGAGTTACTCATTTCCCGCTGTGCATCTATCATGTAAACATGAGGTATACATGTTAGTACATTTTTTTTCATTTTTCTCTGATTAATCTGGTTTTCATTATAGGGGTCTCAGATAGAACTCAGAAGAATGGAGGGAAAATTATTTTTCCTCCTTTAAAATCATCATAACAAATGAAGAAACAGACTTGAGAAAGTAAAATAACTCAAGCTCACTCAGCCAATAAGCAATGGGTGAGGACTATTAATAAATCCAGATTTATACATGCTAGTGAATTATTGTGACTTTCCTGTTGGTGAATTCCTACCTCTCTCCCAAGCATGGGAACCCTGAGAACATTGTATTAATGTATTTTGTGACCAGTATTTCCTTGTTCTGAGATGAACATTGTTCTTCATAAAAATATTCAAATTTTTAGGTAGAAACTTACTTCATCCCCAATGAACACTTCTGACTAGAGAGAAATTACTGAACTTGTTGACTCAGAACAAAAATAAAGAGCATCTACTATTCAGTTTATGGCTTTTATTTTGGGGAGGTGGTAGGAGGAAGTCTAGACTGCCACCACTATAAATCATTTCATTTTTATCATATTCAACATCATTTACAGTACTGTACATAGAGGTGATCTTGAGAACTTTGTGGAGACTATTTTTTTCAATAGTACAGATGGTTCTGATAAATATTTAAGGCATCTTGGAGAACAAGAATATGATCCTGGGTCAGGGGAACTCGGTCGTGTAAATCACGTTGTTTCAAGTCCTTTGGCCTCTAAACATCTAAAATGAGCACATAGTTTATTGGCTGATTAACTAATTGCTGGAGTCACTGAAGGCCCAAGCTACAACCTCGTGCTTGACCACACACCAGGGATTTTTTTTATTACTTATTTTTCTGGATCTTTGCCTGTTTTCCTCTATCCGTAACCACGTATGTATAATGGCTAGTGAACGCTCCCTCACAAGCACACATGTTAATACATCACTTTTCATGGATATGTTAGATCAGAACATTTTCTGTTATGAAGCTAAGTATTAATATAAAACATCTTCTCTCACCAAAGGAATGCCAAATTTAGGTTTAAAGCTGTTTTGCCAGAATATAATGGGAGAAGGAGCCATCATCACTTGGAGATGAAGCTTCCTATGAAGGAGAAAACACTGATGCCTGGTATGCTTTTAATTTTCACACTAGTGTGTCAAAACTGAATACCCTGAATACAATTCATCTGCTGATTAACTCTCAGTTAATCCTGAACATAACTGCAAAAAGGAATTATACACTGAAATTCATCATGAAAATTACCTTAGAAATGAGCAAAGCTAAAACAGGACTATATCCCCATACTCCTGAAAGTTTACAAGATTTGCTAAAAATTATTAGTATGAAATATTTATAAGAGCCTCCTCTATTTACTAGCTCAATATCCTCACATTTCTATGCACCATCTAAAGGGAGTTGATCATGGTCAGAAATGTTTCTAAGTCTGGAAACATGGTATATTTTTCCATCTATTTGTGTTATCTTCAATTTCTTTCACCGGTGTCTTATAGTTTTTGGAGCACAGGTCTTTTGCTTCATCAGGTAGGTTTATTCCTAGATATTTTATTCTTTTTGATGTGAAGGTAAATGGGATTGTTTCCTTAATTTCTCTTTCTGATCTTTTGCTGTTAGTATATAGAAATGTAACAGTTTTTTGTGTATTAATTTTGTATCTTGCCACTTTACTGAATTCATTGATTCTTTCTAGTTTTCTGGTAGCATCTTTAGGATTTTCTAGGTGTAGTATCATGTCATCTGCAAACAGTGACAGTTTGCTCCATATTTTCCAATTTGAGCTCCTTTGACTTCTTTTTCTTCTCTGGTTGCTGTGACTCGGGCTTCCAAAACTATGTTGAATAAAAGTGGTGAGAGTGGGCATCCTTGTCTTGTTCCTGATCTTAGAGGAAGTGCTTTCAGCTTTTCACTGTTGAGACTGATGTTAGCTGTGGGTTTGTCATATATAACCTTTATTATGTTGAGGTAAGGTATGTTCCCTCGGGGCTTCCTAGGTGGCTCAGTGGTAAAGAATCCACCTGCCAAGCAGGAGATGTGGGTCTAATTCCTGAGTGGGGAAGATCCCCTGGAGAAGGAAATGGCAACCCACTCTAGTAATCTTGCCTGGAAAATTCCATGGACAGAGGAGCCTGGCGGGCTGCAGCCCATGGGATCTCAAAAGAGTTGAACATGGCTTAAAGACTAAACAACAACAATAAATGTTCCCTCTATGTCTGCTTTCTGGAGGGTTTTTACGATAAATAGATGTTGGATTTTGTCAAAAGCTTTTTCCTGCATCTATCAAGATAATCGTATGGTTTTTATTTTTCAATTTGTTAATGTGGTATATCACACTAATTGATTTACAGATATTGGAAAATCCTTGCATCCCTGTGATATATCCCACTTGATCATGCTGTATGATCTTTAAATTTAAAAGCTTTTGGATAGCAAAGAAAGCCATAAACAAAACAGAAGGACAACGTACAGAATGAGAGAAAATGTTTGCAATGATGCAGCCGACAAGGGTTTAATTTCCAAAATACATAAACAGCTCATACAACTCAATACCAAAAAAAACCACAAACCCCTAATAAAAAATGGGCAGAAGATCTAAAAAGATGTTTCTTCAAAGAATACATACAGTGGCCAACATCTCTAATTATTAGAGAAATGTAAACCAAAATAACAATGAGGTATCATATCACACTGGTCAGAATGAATGTCATCAAGAGTCTACAAATAATAAATACTGGAGAGGGAGTGGAGAAAAAAGAACTCTCCTACACTACTGGTGGAAATGTAATTTGGTGCAGCTACTATGCAGAACAGTATGGAGATTCCTTAAAAATCTAAAAATAGAGTTACCATATTACAAAGCCATTAAAATGAATGAAATAATATCATTTGCAGTGATATGGATGGACCTAGAGATTTTCATACTAAGTAAAGTAAACCAGACAAAGACAAATATCATATGATATTGCTTATATGTGGAATCTAAATATAATACAAATGAACATACTTGCAAAATAGAATTAGAACCATAGACATAGAAAACAAACTTATGATTACCAAAGCAGAAAGCGTGTGGGGAGGAATAAAGTAGGAGTTATGGATTAACACATACACGCTACTATATATAGAAATAGGTAACCAACAAGAACCTACTATGTAGCACAGGGAACTATACTCAATATTTTGTAATAACCTATAAGGGAAAAGACTCTGAAAAAGAATAGATTTCAGATTCTTTTTGCCGACAAAGGTCCATATAGTTAAAGCTATGGTTTTTCCAGTAGTCATGTATGAATGTGACCATAAAGAAGGACCATAAAGAAGGCTGAGTGCTGAAGAATTGATGCTTTCAAACCGTGGTGTTGGAGCAGACTTTTGAGAGCTTGGACTGCAAGGAGATCAAAACCAGTCAATCCTAAAGGAAATCAACCCTGAATATTCAGTGGAAGGACTGATGCTGAAACTCCAATACTTTGGCCACCTGATGTGAAGAGCTGACTCATTAGAAAAGACCTTGATGCTGGTAAAGATTGAAGGCGGGGGAGAAAGGGATGACAAAGGACAAGATGATTGGATGGCATCTCCGACTCAATGGACAGGAGTTTGAGTAAGTTCCAGGAGATGGTGAAGGACAGGGAAGCCTGGCGTGCTGCAGTTCATGGGGTTGCAAAGAGTCAGATATAACTGAGCAACTGAAAAACATAACTGAATCACTTTGCTGTGCATCTGAAACTAACACGACATAAATCACTAAACTTCAGTTTTTAAAAAAAGAATCTATGGTGCCAAGGAAGCCAGAGGGAGAAGTAAATTAAAAGGGAAGGAATAATTGCAAGATCTTTTTCCGCAAAGAATTTAAAGTTGATAAAGTTTTGGGAAAAGTCTATCAGATTTGGTGATTAGAATATTCAGGCAGTTTTATTTAAGGGCTGAAAGTCATGGGAAGCTGAGCAAGCAGTTAAGCCCCAGTTACCTGATACTATGAGGTTTGTAGTGGATTCAGTAATCAGAGTATTTAAACTTTTTCTATCAATGTTTAGCAGCTTAAAGACACGAGCAGATGATGTAGGGTGCAGGGAAGAGATGGGTATACCTGATACTTGGGATTGAAGGTTTGAATGGTGGGAATGGGTCTAAGGATTGAAGTTTGTTAGAAAAGACAGCATTGAAATATCTGACTATGGGCTTTTGCTTCAGAAAGGAGACAAAGTCAGAAGGCCAGAAGAGGATTGAAGAGACTTTTTAAACTGCATTCTTTGTTTCAACTTGGACTAGTGGATCAGAGATAAGGCCAACGTGTACTGATCTCAGTAGCTCCCCCCACTAAACATCACAAAAACTTTGCTTTGATCAGTGTTGGTTATTAGGGCTTGTGTCAGATGGTAAAGAATCCACCTGCAATGTGGGAGACCTGGGTTCCATCCCTGGGTTGGGAAGATCCCCTGGAGGAGGGCATGGCAACCCGATCCAGTATTCTTGCCTGGAGAATCCCATGGACAGGGGAGCCTGGTGGGCTACAGTCCATGGGGTCACAAAGAGTCGGACACGAGTGAGGCACCTAAGCTCAGCACAGCACACAGCCCAGCCTGCTACGTTTCCTTGCTGTTTGCTCCCCAGTTCCACTTTCCACCCTTTTACATTCTGCTCTTTGACCTGGTAGGCTGATGAATAGGGACCATAACAGTGAGTTTTCTTGCTCTCCTGCTTCTATTTGTATTTAGCTACTGGGGAGCACTGGTCTGAGACTGGAGGGAAGGAGAATGTGAGGGAGGTGTTCACTCTTCTGGCTCCCTTATATAAGGTTGTTTGGTCCTCTTCCCTTCAGGCCTAGAGACAGTAATAATGCCCAGCTCTCTTAGCCCTTCGTGATTTCTCTATTCTCTGTCACACATTTGAAATTTCCTATATATGCTGCATATGCTTTACTTTCTCAAATTACCCAAGTTGAAAGTTCCATCTGGACCCTGTCTGACACAATTTTTATGTGAGATTTCATTATAAAATTTTGCATCACTAAAAAAAATGTTTGAAATTGGTAGACTAGTACAGGAGCTGGCAAATTTTTTTCCTAAAGAGCCATACAGTAAATATTTTTGGCTTTACAGATTATACAATACCTGTCATCATTCTTCGACTCTGTTCTCTTAGTGATAAAGCAGCATAGATAATAAGTGAATGAATGTGCCTATGTTTCAATAAAACTTTATTTACAAAGATAGGCAGTGAGTTTTACTTTTGGCCTATTAGACTGTAGTTTACTGATCCTTAATCTAGGACAAGCAGTCTTCTGCTTGATTCATGAGAGTGATTCTCAGTCTGGGAAGACTTGGACCCTTAGGGTATGTTTGACAGTATCTATAGACATTTTTGATTATCACAGCTGGAGGAGGGTTTGCTTGGGGAATGTGTCCCTGAGCTAGTTCTTTTGATTATCATCTTCTGGGGCTCTGTGTTTAAGACTGGATATCTTAACATTTCAGAAGGGGAAAAAGAGGAATTGATAATGTCGGCATGGATTATTATACTATGAGTTTTATTTATTTTTTGTACTATGAGTTTTCAATGAAGCTACATATTACCCTGAAACTATTGAACCAGAACAAAATTGCAATATTTGTATTCCCTGAACTGAACTGATATTTCTTTTGACTAATGTCCTTATTTACTGACAGGGGACCATGCCTCACTCCTCACTCACCCTACCACCATATCATTAATTAGAGGACAAGTTGAAGAACAAGGACACACAGAAATCTGTGTCTGGATGACATCATGAGTTTGATCAGCTTAACGTCTGCCAGTAGTTTTGAAGAGATGCTTAACTTTTGGAAATCACTTCTTTATTGCAACCAAACCTATTAAGTTTAAAGGTCCATAAAGATGAGATAAACAGTCATAAAGACCTTTTGAAATTCATACACAGTGTGTTAAATGGATTTAATCACTGTCAGTTAAAAATGGTGATGTTTTAGCAATGTTCGTACACTGGCAAAAATCAGATCACTGACTGCTTAATGGGGGACAAAAATCTCAGTGGATGAAATGCTGCTTATTTGTGACTTCTGAGTCATTTTTACAGGGTTTTCAAGGGAATAACTTGACCTTAGTGTACTACA